GCGAAGGGAGACCCAAAGGCTCGAGCAATCTAGAGATTAGGAAAACTAAATAGAACCAGTGGTCCTGTCCCCTCCAGGAGTCACTGTTTTCTAAATCGCAACATTCAACAGGTGTAGCAGACTTGAACAGAATTCCAAACGGAAGACAAAGGTCACAGGAGGCTTCTGGACACTGGGATCCTGATGCCATGCGTTTCAGAGAAGGCAGGGGGCATCCATCCTGATTAAGGTAATGCTGGGTGATGAGTCCCAGACCCACAGACAGAGGAGAGGCTGGGGTGGGGGTCAGAGCACCAGCCTCATGTTTCTGCTGGAGACAAGACACCCGTATTCCCTTGCCCTCAGACATCAGCACTCCTGGTTCTTGGACTTTCAGGCTCAGATTGGGACTGTATATATCCCCCAATTCTCAGAGCTTCAGACTCAGGCTGAATTATACCACCAGCTTTTCAGAGACAAGAGACAAGGTGAAAAAGGGATGGGACAAAAGAGAACAGGTGAGTGGCACGTTCCATGTTGGTTTAGGGGCTTGGGGCTTTGGCCACCCTAGACAGCCCAGATTTTCTGAATGACCCCTCTGAAGAAGGCAATTCTCCAGATCTATTGATGAAGTTTTCCTGGTTGACTCAGGGACTGTAAACACCTCAGCCTGTGGGTGACCCTGCAGATTTTCAATGACTTGAGCTTAAGCGAGGGAACTGGGCTGGCAAGGTGGCAAGGATACCCATCTTGGGCCCACCTGAGTCCTAAGAATGGCGTTCCAGCTCTCCAAAAAATGGTGTGGCCCAGGGGCATCAATTATGCAACTAGCAATTGTGGCACCCAGGTCAAACTCTGCTTTTTAACATTACAGTTACCCTGTACAAATTAAAATATACATGTCCTTTTCCCATAATTCACCAGGACATGAGTCTGAATGTATTGCCTGGGACTGTTGCGGAGCTTCTGGCAAAAGCTGCACCCAGGGGAAGCCCCTGGGGCTGGGCTGGGCCAGGAAAGAAGGTATTACACCTGTGGTCCCCACACCCACATGTTCACTTACCTCCATCCTGGATCTTTGGTCTCACAGGTACTTTTAACAACCATGTACACAAACATGAATCCTGTCTTTTACTCTGTCCTCGAGGGTCCCTTTCGAGCTAAGACACTGTCTGATAGCTGGAGGATCTGACAGCGCCTTTTTGTCTTACGGCTGCCTGGCAGGACCCGGCAGACTTGTCTGTCACTCCTTTATACAAGGGTTGAGAATAGGTAGTGCCTTTTCTTTCCAAATAAGACTAATGCACTGGGGAAGCCTGAAGCCGTCTGATTTTACTCCACTTAAGAGCGATCCTTTTGCTCTTCTCTCCTTGGAGAATTTTTATTTCTCTTCCCATTTAGATATGTTACAATAATATGCCTCATTTTAAACTTTTCTGATTAACATTACTCAGAACAAGATGAAAGCTTTCGATTTCTGACCTCATTTATTTTCTCGGTCTGGGAAGCTTTTCTTCCCCTGCACTGTATTGTGTCGATGGTTTTGTTCACAGGCAAGCTGCCTTTCATCCGAGCAACAGCCCAAAGTCAGCCCTGAGCCTCAGCGAGACCGTCTAGTCTTCTGCTCTTGTGACACTTCTTTACTTACTGAGGAATTAGAAAGTAATGAAAAATGCCAGAGAATAGTGGGAAAGATTGCAGGTGGACTTATTTCTTGGCAAAAAAAAAATTCCAAACAATATATGGTGGTGTTCTCTTATTGAAAACATCCAGCTTAGCTTAAGCATAGGATTCTGTATCATTCTAGGTTAATTTATATAAATGTGTGTGTGCACACCGTATTAAAATTATGTATGTGCTATACATCATACAAAGCTCAGAGTTTTTTCAAGCTGTGGGGATGGCTTTCTTAAAAATGTATTTATTTTTCACGTAATTTGTGCTCTAAGCAGTGTAAAATAGCACAAAGTGAAAGGAGAAACAATAGTATTGGTAGAATAGAGCACCTTACATAGATCTCCAGGTAAAAGGGAGCCCTGTCCAGGAACCTGTAGTCACCTGGTCCAGACTCCTGCACATAAGCTAAGGAGGAAGTAGGTGCTGTTACTTAAGGGGGGGGGCTGTGTTGTGTGGGCTGGGAGTGAGGAGAAGGCACTCACTGTGGGCTTGCAAAGGCCATGAGGGCATCTGGAGGTAGGCCCTGAAAGATGTAGACTCTCACCTGGGCTCCTTTCTGAGAAATGTATGTATTAGCCAGGAAGCTGGCTAAGGTCAGGGTGTAGAACCAGTGGTTCTTAAGCTTGGCCATATGATAGAACTTCTGGAAAGCTTGTTATAACACAGTTTGTTAGACCCCACTCCAGGGTGTCTGACTTAGGACATGTGGAGTGGGGCCCGAGAATCTGCATTTGTAACAAGTTCCCAGATGAGGCCGATGCTGCTGGTCAGGGACCACACCTTGAGAACCACAGAATAGTGTGTAGATGGTGGATCCCGAAGACTCTGAATCCAGGCTTTGGTCTTTATGGCGCCAACAGCACTCAACTCCCACTTTAAGAATTGGCAAAAAAAGAGGCTTCTAAGGAGTCACCATGCAGCTTGCAGGAGGACATGGTCAATGAGAAGTAAGAGGCATAAACCTTCCACATCTCCAGCGTGGATGCTGGATATGCCCGGGCAGGCAAAAAGAGGCAGGTAATTGTACATGAGGCTGGTATCCATGCCCAATCCACCCGACACTCTCATAAAAGAGAGCAGGTGAGGGAGCGGAATTGCTGTGGAGAAGACAAGCCAGAGAGCAGGCTGTGAGGCCGCTCACTCCAACCCATTCACAAGGAATGTGCAGAGTGGAACTTGCTGGCTCCTCAGCTGGCCACCTAGGGGCCACCTACTAGGCTGTGCTTCGACGTGGAGACGGATGGGCCCCTCCCCTTCTTCAGGGATGGGGGCAGCCATACAAGACTTGGTCATCACCATTACCATGGAGTCTGACCTTTGCCAGCTCTAGGCTGCTTCAAAGCAAATGCTTTGCAAGTGTGGGGAGACCAGCACCTTAGCGAGCCTTAGAGGGGAGTTCCACTGTCTCATCCTCTGTCTCCCCACAACACAGCCTACAGTGGCAATCAAATCTTGGAGTCCCACCTGTCCCCATAACCCTCCACCTCTGTGCCTGCCTCCACAGGGACAGCCCTCTACCCATCACCCTATTCTCCCCTCTGCTGGTAATGAGGTCTTACCCCTCACTGGTTTCCTTCTCACAGCATATAGAGACATTCAAATGTCTCTTATCTTAAAAATGAAATTTAAAAAACCTCCACTCAATGCAGGGCTTCCTTCACCTCCTTCCTTTCACAGATAAGTGCCTGGAACCAGTTATTGCCTCTTGTTAAGTCATCAACTCATTCCAATCAGGTTTGTCTCCACCACTCCACCGCTTCTACTCATGTTAGATTCCCAGCAGGCATTTATTCAGTCATTAATCTAACAGATGTCTATTGAGCCATGTGCCAAGCACGGTTCTACATGCTTGGGATGCAAAGATCTATGCCCCACAGAGCTTGCAACTCAGTAAGGGCAAGTAGAGAAAAACAATACCCATGATAAGTAAGTAGATTCTGTGGAGTGCTAGAAGTTGACGAGAGTTAAGAAAAAGAATAGCAGAGCAGCACAGGGATGAGAAGATGGGAACAGGGCCAAATTCAACATGCTAGATCCAGATCTTTGTCTCCAATTAAATTCAAAACAGATGAAAGAGAGTATATGAGCTATGATAATATATTGATGAATTTTTCATTGCTGGGTTTTACGAAGAAATCCCATACAAATTCCACTGAGGAAAGAACCCAGCCTGGAACTGAAAGCACAGGAACAGTCCATGGTCTCCAAAGGGGAGTGATTTTAGGATCCAGAGAAGGTCCCCACCATGTCCTTCACCTCATAGCCTGGCTGTTTATGACAGCGTGTGGGCACAAAGTCTTTCATTCCACAGAGGGGGCTCAAGTGTAGATGAGGGGCCAACATGGTGTCTTAAAGGTACTGAGCAGCTAAGGATAAACCAGTGAAATCACAAACAGGGCAGGCTTTGATTAGGGGCAGGGATTCTGCACTGGGTACCTTCTCAGTAGGGCAAAATTGAGAATACGACAAAGGAAGGTGGAAGAAATTCGATAAATTTTAAGCCTTACAATTGTGTCTTGAGTCATTTCCAACAAGCCTACTTTCTAGACGCCTAGGTATGCAAAGGTTCGGGACAGGGAGCAACAGGCACAGAGACCCCTTAAGGACATCCTCCCAGCGCCCATTCTTTGCACTGTGGAGAGACACTTGCAGCAGGCAAGAGAAGCGAGTCTACTGTTAAGTGGTTGCCGGGCTCTACAGGAGTCCCCTCACCAGTTTGGGGGGGTGTTCACTTACCTTAACTCTTAAAAGAAGAAGTTGGAATACATCAATGTGTCTAACTTTTTTTTATAGTACAATTCTCTTTTCAAGCAACATCTTAAGCAAAACCCAGTATATAAAATGTCTAGCAGTGGAAGTGGCCCAGGCTAAAGGCCCAGCAAGAGGCCCCTTTCTGCACCCTCCTCATTCCCTGCCCCTATCATTCTCCTTAGAAGCATTTCTGAGACAAGGAAGGGTCCTTCTCTCCTCTGGCATCTTATGATTCTGTAATAGACATGGACCATCAAAATTCATAGAATGGCAATATTAATTTAAAGAGATCATGTAATTTTAAGAACAAATTAAGGAGAGAAGGAAACTAGAAGAGAATGGGAAGCACATGCTGTGGCTGATGTCCAGAGTGAGTCACCAGGCATGGAATAAATTGTTCAACTTTCGAGGGGGAAAGCCCAGGATTCCTTGTCTAGGGAGGGATGACAATCTTGCTGGAACATCCTCACGAACAGGGGTAGGATAAAGGAATCTGTCATTCACCAGCTAAAGAAGCTTTAAATATACATTAAGATGACCAGGCAGCTCTGCACACGAATGTGAACAAGAGTAAAGGACGCCACGTCACTAACCTTGATTCCAAGTTCGATATTTTCTCCTCCATACACATCCATCCCAGGGTCCAGAAGACCGATTTCACCAAAGAACTTCCTGTTGACCACGAAGGAGCAGCCAATCATGGCTGGTGTTCTGCAGAAGAGAGAGAGAAACTAAAGTCATTAAAGTCATGCCACACACACACACACACACACACACACACACACACACACTCTACAGTTTTATTCAGCTACCAGAAAGAAGGAAATCCTGCCATTTGCAACAACATGGATGGGCTTGAGGGCATTATGCTAAGTGAGCTAAGTTAGACAGAGAAAGACAAATGTTCTCACTTATATATGGAATCTAAAAAAGCCAAACTTGTAGAAACAGAGAGAATGGTGCTTGCCAGGGACTGTGGGGGTGGGGAGATGTTGGTCAAAGGGTCTATACTTGCAGTTAGAAGATGAATAAGTTCTGGACACCCGATGTACATCATAGTGATTATAATCAACAATACTGTATTATAAATTTCAAACTTGCTCGGAGACTAGATCTTCAATGTTCTCACCACAAAATGAAATGACAATTATGTGACGTGATGGAGATGTTAACTAATGCCATGGTGATAATCATATTGCAATGCATAAGTGAACCAAATCAACACGTTGTACACCTTAAACTTACACAGTGTCATATGCCAATTATATCTCAACTTTTAAAAAGGAGCTAAAGTCATTAAGTATCAGTGAAGGCATCAGTACCAGAAGACCTCAATGCCCACATCCCCATTCTCTCTAAAGCTATGTTTTAGCTTCAGACAAACTATGGGACCTAAAGCATCTAGAGATAACCCGGCACCTTGAAGCCTGAGTAAGAGTGGGTACCGCATATCATGTGAAGTCTGCAAGCATGGAAACTGCTTCTCACTGCATGTCTGGGGACAGCTGTGCGACAGGACGGGCATCCATGGGCAATCTCAGGGAAGCTCAGAGGTAAGGAACAAGATGTGTCTGTTCCCTGTCCCAGGAAGAAGGGCTTTACAAGTTGGGGACATGAAGGGAAACTGGAGAAGGGAAGGTCAACAGGAAGAGGTCTAAACTCCACAGTCCAGTAGGAGAAAGTGATCAGGATGCTGGTCCTTACGGAGGGGAGAAGGCTCAGAGGAGACCCTTGATGCCCACAGAGAGACAGCCTCAGCCCACAGAGAAGGGCAGCTGAGAGAGAGAGATGAAAGGCATCTATAGGGTGGCCACTGGCCATAAACTCTGAAAACAAAGATTAATATTTTATTTTTGTATATCTTAATCCTCTTGATTATTTCTTCTGGAGTAGGCTAACAGCACAAATTGAACTCAATGCAAATCAGAGACAAAAACCATCTGAGGCAACACATCATGGATGCATGTGCAGGAATTGATGGAAGCACAGCATTAATTACTACCATGTTCATGGCAATTTTGTGTGAAACATGGAAACCTGCATTGCTAATGAGGGGCAACCCACTGATACATCTTACATATTGATTGTATTATATTATATCCCACACTGCAGTGTAATATCAGTAAATTCCTATGTCTTTTTCTCTCTATTTCCAGACTTTCTGGTTTCTCTTGTATAATAAATCCATTCAGCAAATATTTTCTCAGCATCTACCATATCTAAAGCATTTTACTGGTGCTGTAGGGGGTAGAGAAACACACACTATACTTCCTGCATTCAATCAACTAAGAGTCATCATCGTTATTACTGTATTATCATTATTACAGCAGCCATTTATTGAGCAATTACTATGTCTTGCACAATGCAAAGCACTTTTCCTGCACTGTCTCATTTAAAAATGTTCACAGCTCTGTGAATGAGGTAGGACCATCTTCATTTAAAAGCTGAGTCCCACGGGGAGTTAGTGACCTGCGCCTGGGTCACAGAGTTGAGCTCACGAACCATCCAGCTTCAAAGTCCTGACCTTGTGATTTGTGGCACTCTCCAGCCAAGGCTTCATGAAGAAGTTGGCAAAACCCCAAATGCCAAAGGCCGGACGTACCATTAAGATGCTTTTTCATGGGCAAAAGAGACATCTCACACAGGAGGCCCAGTGAAACTTCCCTGGGGCCACCGGGAAGGTATTCCATGGCATTCTCTGGAGCTGAACTACAGACCTCAGTCTCAGGTCCTCATCGGCTCTTTCTGATTCTGAGCTTGACTTTGGCCTCAATGTCCAGATTGCTGACTCCATGGAATACCTCCTGCTAGCCACAAGACAAGGCAAGTAGTGGGGCACCCTGGAAAAAGCAGTGTTCAGAGTTTAAAGAACCCAGTGTGGGCGCTGGCACTGCCGCTGAAAACTGCACTTGTGTTATGTTAATAGAGCGCCCTGGGTCCCAGTTACATCTCTACAGAGCTGCTGTGAAAAGATGTGAGAGGAGCCCAGGGCACAGGGCAGGAGCTCAGCAAATAATGCTCCTTTGCCCAACTACTGAGGCTGATTTATGCTTTTCCAGAAACCTCATACCAATCATACCTATGTACCTGGGATGCTGCTCTCTACTGGTGCAGCTGTGCCACCCAAGCCACACCAGGGACAGCAACCCCTCACTGTCAGTCATTTTCTCTAGCCCTTGGCCCCTAGGAGAAAAGCAGCAGACCCACAGCCTGGAAAAGCACTATGAGAGCCAATCCCAGCCTCAGTTAACCCAGCCTAACCAGTCAATCAAATTACGTTTTCCCTGAAACTTGGAACTGAGGCAGTGCTGGGAGCTAGAACTGGATGGTCTCATCCATATGTGGAGCACAGGCCATCATGGGGGATAGCTCAGGTGCACACGGATGACAGCACCAGATGACAGGGAGGAGGCAGGTGCACAGGGGAGGGGTGAGACCAGGGATGGGGGCTGCCTGGTGACTTCAGCCTCCCATCTGCTGAGAGGTGTGGCTCCAATCTCTGCCCATGGGCATGTGAGAGTCCCTCTGTCTTTGTGGTCTGTCCTCCTTGACTTAAACCATGTTAGGTGACCCGGTAGG